CCTTTCCTACCATCCCTCTTCTGGCATTTCATCTTGCACCACAGTAAACACTGAGCCAAGGGTACAGCTTTTTGAGCACTGCCAGACGAGAGATCTTTCCCTTCTTATTTTCATTCTGTCGTGCAGTCTGTCCCAGTCTGTCCCACTCTGTCCCAGTCTCCCTCTCATGTGGGGAACAGTGGAATTTAATTATGTTTTTCTCTTATTTTTATTGGCTTCTTGCCTCCTTGTCACCTTTGCTCCTGTGATAAGTGAAAAACCAGGAAGGAACTAATCCTAACTGTTTCATTACACAGACTCAGGGGGAGTTCATTACATCAGTGTGCACTGTAATAACCTGGACCACACTAAAGGCACAAAGTGAATGGACTGCTGTGTCATACCCTCTGTTAGGTTCAACGCTGTTTGAATAATTCACCATTAATAATGTGGAGGTTGTGGGTCTGTGGAGGCCTTCAGTTCATCTGAATATAAACCCATCTCTGAGGCTGATTTGTTTTTTTAATTTCTAACCTAAACAGTTTTTTTTTCTTACAAAGGATAAAAAACACAGCATTAACTTCCTGGATATTAGACCATTGGACTGATGTATTCCTTGTGGATCATCAAAATAGGCTAAGGTATTCTGTTGTGGTTTAATGAGCACTGACTTTTATGAGATTCAGATTTAGAACATGAGACCTGTTAGTCAGTTGTCTGGTATGATGTTTTGATCCGAGAAAAAACATCTTCTTTTACAGATGCAGTGTAGCCTTGTAAAAAAATAAATCTTAAACTAAGGGAGTGAAATGCTCCAAAACTCAGTAGCTTTTTGTCATGTTGAATGAAATAATGGGCAAATCCAGAGCTCTTCAAATGCTTTCCTGGCATGTTAGTAATTAGTTTTTATAGTTTTGGTCTATTAGGGTTACATTTCTGTAACCCCAAAAGAGAAAACAAGGAAAGATAATTCCCTCAAACAGGTATGCAGTAATAGACTTCCAGGGCTGTGAGCTCTGAGGCTGCTATGATGCTAACTGAGGTGTGGCTAGGAAAGACGCAGGGGATTATTTCACTGATGCTTTAATCCTGTAATCACATCATTCACTGTTTTCACCAGCAGTGAAGGTAGACATGTGCTGAGTAATGTCACCTACACGGGCAGGAGTTATGTAACCATGAGTAATGAGTAATAACCATGAGTAATACATCATATATAAATAAATATATATATATACATACACACACAGTATATATGTGTGCGTGTGTATGTGTACACACATATATATATGTATATATATATATATATATACTGTGCCACACAGGAGGTGCCATTCAGTATATCATATCCCTTTCCACTGTACTAGTGAAAATAATACTCCAAGTACATCTGCCATTGTAAAAACAGCCAAAGTGTGATGTTGTCTTTTGGTCCTACCCAGTTTCCAGTTTATAACACCTGTTTGTATAATGATGTCATTGTGTTGACACAGATAGCCCTGCTGCTGATTTTTGGGTGGGGGGGGGGGGTTGGTCTTGAAGTTAAGCAGTTCCATCTAACTTGATTTTTTCGCTTAAACAGTAGCTGTTAGCTTGTTGGCTAGCTGTACCAGTCTTTTGAGAAGCAGACGTTGAACAGGGGGAGCTGTGATAGTCGTCTTCTAAATAAAGCTGCAGGTTGACATGTGAAGACAGTTTTACTGATGAAAAGCTCACATTACTGCAGCAGTCAGTGGTACAGCGGCTAAAGTGGTACAGTATATTTTTACTGTGCTCTGGTGCTAATAAAAAAAGCCACCAGTGGTTATGGTCTCACTCGATCTCATTCCCTTTCACCCCGCCCCCTCTTTCGCTATCTTTATTTTTATGATTTATTGATCTCAGATGACTTTGTTTCTTGTAGAGGAATTAGTTCTTTCCCAGAGCCTCCCTCAACCCCCCCCTTCTTTTGAAAATGACAGTGAGCTGAAGTGGTCTCTGAACTGGTCACGGTCGAGCTGAAGTGGTCTCTGAACTGGTCACTGGGTTGATGTAGAGGGCAAACTGTGGTGCCCAGACACCATGTGTCTCTGACAGTCTCGGTCATTGTTGGAGCTGGAGTCTTTCAGCTGGTAAGCTCAACCTTCAGGTGATTCCTGTCTGGTGTTTGGTGGTTGTAGGTAGTCAGTCGTACCGTTGTCTTACACCTGGAGGCTTGTAGGGAGTTGTAAGTGTGGGATTACAGACTTGTTCGTAGTGTAACTGCTGACAGTGGAGAGATGGCTCAACCAGTATTGTGAGATGCTTTGTGTGGTCACCACATATTACTGTCGTTTCAATAGCTTCTTTTAAATTAGCTGTTGCTAATTAGATTTTTTTTTCCGCGTGTTCACATAATACCAGACTTAAAACAGGATTATGTTTTGAGCTGTAATGATCCCTGAAAGTATAGTCTATGATAGTACTTTTAAGTAGGGATGTCCGATATTAACATTTTTGCTGATATCCAATATGCCGATATTGTCCAAACACTTAATGTTTAATTCCAATATCAACGATAGCGATATAGCGGGGCAGTGGTGGTTAAGGAAGTTAAGTGCCGCTGCTCACTAAGGTGATGGGTTAAAGCCATCTGACTGGTTTGGGCCAGTAAACTATTTTTAGAGCACAAATCATTGTGTTATCGGGAGGAAAAACCCATATCAATTCTTACCGATATAACATAATTATGCTAATGTCGGCGGATATTATCGGACATCCCTACTTTTAAGTATTTTCATCACAGAAAAGTCATCTTAATCAGTGTGAAACTACCAAGCTATTGGTGCTATGTTGTTGTCATTTGTTTATCAGCAGATAAACAAAGACGAGGCAGTGGTTTGTTTGGTGTTCATTGAGTTGCAGAACAGATAAGAGGGGTTGAAAAGTGAACTGTCTTTCTAATATTTTATCTCCTGCCTTTTTCTCAACGTGAATAACTACCAGCTCATCGTCCATATTGTCTCAGCTGTTAGCTTACCCACTGTTACAGGACCGTTACTTTGTCAAAGATGAGGCAGGATAAAGAAAACAGCAGGTCTCATTACCATCTTGGACCTTCCCTTTCAGCCTTGCTGCTATTCTTCTGTCACAAATCACCCCTGACACCCGTCTCCATCTATTCCACTCTGACTGTACCCTTTTTTTTCAGCTGTTCTGTGCACTGTCCATTACTCTGAATGACTGATCCTAGGAACAGCTGTATCTTTTAATTCACCTTTCCCTTATTTACACACATGTATTCTGTCTTGTTCCTCCTCCTGCACCTGCTCCCTACTCCCTACCCTACAGATGACAGTGTCATCTGCAAACATCATGGTCCGTGGGGCCTCCTGTCTCACCTCATCTGTCAACATGTAAATCACCATAGCAAACAAAAGGGGATCAGAGCTGATCCCTGGTGTAACCCCACTGCTATCTTGGACTCAACCATGTGAACCAAATGTAGTATGGTTCCTGGTACTGGGTTTAGTGTCAGTGTATTGTTAATAAAGACACATTATCAACAAACTTCAAATTGAGAATAACACATTTTGAATCTTTTTAGCAGATAACACATGTTGTTTCTAATCAAGGTGCCAGAATCAATAATACACAGAGGTAATCCATTGTGTGCTGTTTGTGTGTATTTTCCAGTGAGAGTCAGCTCTATGGTCAAATTCTGCTGCCCGGTCATCTGTGGCCTCGAAGATCCAAGATTCATTACTCCCAGTCTATCCTTCGGAGACAGGCAGAGGAGGAAGCAATTAAACGTTCCCGCTCACTGTCAGAGAACTATGAGCTCTCAACTGATCTACAGGACAAGAAGGTGAGAGTGTTGGGACATGGAAGATGCAGATTTTTGCCTCTGTTAATTTCAATATTGAATATTTTTCACCACTGTTAAAGGAGTAAGTAAGCTACAGTAACACAGAGAACAAAGCTCAATCATTGACTGCATTACTGCTATCTGATGATATAACCAAGACTTTAGAGAGCTATATACATTTTATTAGAGTTGATGGTTTTAGAATGGGAATTCACTACAGAGCAGGCTAATCTCCTACCACTAGACCACTAATGCCAAAAATATACACAAATGAGAGAAACCAATGTCTGTCATTTCTGGTTTCTAAGTTGATGATGTGGGACAAAATACTAAAATGTCACTGTTATTTTAATAATGGTTGAACAGATGTGATATACTAGATATATTTGAGTAACAATTAATTTTTTTTACTGAACAACTAAGAGAATAACAGGTCATTTTAAGGTTTTAACGAAGAAAAGAGAAAATGTTTGCAGCCTAAAGACCTCCTAGTATTTGGTAAACCGTTGATTGGAAAACAACGTTTCTGCAGTTTGTGTCATATTTGTCAAGTTACACGTTATTCTTATTTTCTTAAAATACGCTTTATTAGAAAAAATATTTGAAGCATAATTGACTGGTAACGATGACATTAAACAACTAATGCTACATCGACGTTGAATAACGCAGTTGCTGGAAATGCCTTAGTACGACAAGAGTCATTATCATCGAGCCTGCTGACGCGTTCATTAGGGCTGATGGAGCACGAAGCTGATTCTCCTAAATTCATTTTTTCTTTGACAGTGGTAGGAAGCCCCGCGTTAGCAGGGCATCAAAAAATTGAGATAAACTCTTGTTGTTCCTCTCCACGGAAATCTTTAGTAAAAGGCGAAAGATTTATACGATCTGAAGAGAAACAAGAGTGAACTGCCTTTCCTCCGTCCTAAAGGCCGTCTTGACCCACAGCAACACCGTTTAAAGTCAGGGTTTAGAATTTATTTTTTACTCATATACAATCCTCGAGTTAATTAACACAACCAATGTAGTCGCATTGATATTTTAGACTTTCAATGTTGATAATTTTGATATCTTATATAGTAAATTAGTTCTTTGGGCTTCGGCGCAATGCATTGTGGGACTCGGGTTTCGCTAAACGGTATACCATAGTATACCATAGCACACCAGCTTTATTCTAAAAGATCTAAAATTATTGAGGCTTTATTGTTAGTTTTTAAATGTTGGTGGTGGTACAAAAGTACAGCTTTATGTCTTAAATTTATGAGTTATTTTTTACAAGCACATGTGCACGTTATTACGAACGCCCCATAGCAAAATGTAGAACAGCGACGCTGTGTGGTAAACAATAGTTAATGCATAGTCATACGTCTAGAGGTTAACGTTAAACAAACCCAGTGAAGAACCGGCATTTGATTTTCTGAGATAATATTCTTTCTTTTTGCAATGAATAGTAAACTTTCTCAAAGTATCTAGTGTGTGGTGTAATTAATTAATCAAGAGAATACTGTAACAATATTTACACATTGTATATGAATCTGAAAATGAAAATGAAATCTAAATGAACTTTTTAAACTTCTAACACCGGGCTACAACGTGTTGTTAAATGTGCCTGTTTCACTCTTCCTACAGGTGGAGATGCTAGAGCGTAAATATGGTGGTCGTTTCATAACTCGACATGCAGCCCGTACCATACAGACCGCCTTTCGCCAGTATCAGATGAACAAAAACTTTGAGCGTCTTAGAAGCTCTATGTCTGAGAACCGTATGTCCAGAAGAATCGTCCTATCCAATATGAGAATGCAGTTTTCATTTGAAGGACCTGAAAAAGTCCACAGCTCCTACTTTGAGGGAAACCAAGTGTCCCTCACAGACGATGGCAGTAAACTCGGTGCTCTGGTACAGTCAGAACATGGTGCACACATAGGGGCGCAGGCCACCACCCCCACTACACAAAGTGATTTTACAGACGCTATCACAGAACTCGAAGACGCCTTTTCCAGACAAGTCAAATCTCTGGCTGAGTCTATAGATGATGCTTTGAACTGCAGCGGTTTGCATGGTGAGGAGGGTCACTCGCCGTCAGGCAGGGGTCACCAGGACATAAACAGAGAGGTCGGCCGTCAAGCCAAGTCACACATCACTTCAGATGATCAAAACCTGGATGAGATGACAGCGTCATACAGTGATGTGACCCTCTACATCGATGAGGAGGAACTATCTCCACCACTACCTCTATCTCATTCTGTAGATCAACCTTCGAGCAGAAAGTCTGATTTACGTCACTGTTCCCTCAACTCCTCGCAGGAATACTGGTCTCTGGCTCATAAGAATGAAAAAGAGGACACAGACACGAGCTGCCTCAGTACGCCATCTTTGGAATTCCAGGAGCGCCACATGCAGATGGACCACTTGCCCTTGCTGACTATTGAACCTCCCAGTGACAGCTCAGTGGAACTAAGTGATCGCTCCGACCATGGGTCTTTGAAAAGACGGAATTCCTACGAGCAGAGTCTGAGCAACCAGCAGAGCAGCCCCAAAATCACCAGTCGTGGTTTGCCCTCCCGAGGTTCTTCGAGAGAAGATGAAGCTTTCTGTTATCGACCTCAACAACTGGAGGCTCACCTGGCCATCAATGGAACTGTGAATTGGCAGAGCAAATCAGAATCTGATTTCTCTGACGGTGACAATGACAGCATAAACAGCACCTCCAACTCCAACGACACCATTAACTGCAGCTCTGAGTCCTCATCCAGAGACAGTGTTAAGGAGCAAACCCTCAGCAAGCAGACATACCACAAAGAGACTCGCAACAGCTGGGACTCCCCTGCCTTCAGCAACGATGTCATCCGTAAGAGGCATTATCGTATTGGACTAAACATCTTTAACAAGTAAGTGCCGACCACCGCCACTAGACTAAATGTGTAATATGAAATAGAAGGTACGCAGTTTTAGCACACGTTGACATTGTGAGTGATAAATGGGCCCAAAAATGTGTGTTCACACTAAGGCAGTGGTGGCTTAGTGGTTAAGGAAGACGGGACCGTCCACACTCACTGCTCCCCGGGCGCTTAAAACTGCCCACTGTTCACTTTGGTGATGGGTTAAAATGTGTGCAGTGGTGTGCTGTGTCACAATGACAAGTAGTTCACTTTCTTGCTTACCTAATCAACTCCCATACTCTTTTGTGTTCACACTGACTTTCAATATTTGGACCTTTTGTGTTCACACTGACTTTCAATATGGGATTCACTGCACACTTGATACTCCATGGGAAGCTGTGTTTCAGTCTCTGAAGAGAGTTTGGACAGAAAAATACAGCGAATATTTCCATCTGTTTCTCTTGTTTCTCCAGGAAACCAGAAAAAGGCATCCAGTATTTGATAGAGAGGAACTTCGTGCAAGACACCCCAGTGGCTGTGGCTCACTTTCTGCTTAAAAGGAAGGGCTTGAGTAGGCAAATGATCGGCGAGTTCCTGGGTAACAGACAGAAACAGTTCAACCGAGATGTTCTTGAGTGAGTGAACCTTCCTTTGAATTTACATGATGGGAATTTAAGACAAGAAATGGCTAAAGGTTAGAATGTCACTGCATCCTCAGGGAAATATTTATTGTCTTTTAATTTGAAAAGAAAATTGAATTGTGCAGTTTCTTTTTTTTCTCTAGCATTTTTCCATTTAGGAAGTAAAATGAAGTCAATAACACTAAATAAAAGTGGGTTATAACAGGTTTATTGTAGTATATTTCAATAAAAGAGTCATTTAAATAAGAAAGGGAAGTGAATTATATTCCGTGTCAATGATTTCCTTTAATGTTAACAGATCAATGTTTGAGTCTGCATGGATTTACTTGCACAATTGCATTAGCAGAGACCTGCTTTATCAGATATCACTACAGCTGTCAGTGTCAGTTTTACAGACATACCAGGTAGTATCTGCTGATGTTTTCATATGCAAAAGTGCCAAGAAATCAGGGGATAGATAAGGTGATTAAACACCACCAAGGTGCTTTTATTTTGACAGTTATTTAACCAACAGTTTGTGATCAGTTGTCTATTGACACGCACAAGCAGTGATGCCCAGCAGGGGACAGTGTTCTCAATTGAAATGCACTATTGGTGTCAAAGCTTCTCTCAGTTTCAGTCGGGTGGATGTGTTACCTCAGCAGAAATGTCTTCAAATGTGACGGATGTTGTTTCTTTTTGGCTTACAACAGCCTTTGTAGATGATGAAAACACTGTCCTCACTGTGGTTTGGGATGAGCTCACACCTACACACTGCTGTGGAAACCCACTGAGAATCAAGTCCACAGATGAATATACAGCACTGGTATATTTACAACTCTCTTTTTTCACCAGCTGTGTAGTCGATGAAATGGACTTCTCTGAACTTGAGCTGGACGAAGCCCTCCGGAAGTTCCAAGCTCACATCAGAGTCCAGGGAGAAGCACAGAAGGTGGAGCGGATGATCGAGGCCTACAGGTGAGTCCTCTGTCAGCTGACCGCTCCCTTCCTACAGGTGAAAGGTTAGACGGAAGAAAGCAGTTTTTGCCAGTGAGGTCAACTTGAACCAACGTGTTATATGACATGGCCATAGTTACAGGGAGGACTGCAACTGGAGTTTGGTGAACTAATAAACACCTTCATCAACGTTCAACAACAATGGATCATCTACTGTGGACGAGGGTTTTTAGCAAATCCTGCAGATATTCCCACCACATCAGTTTTGAAGGTCGAAGCCCTCTGATTGTCTGACCTTTGTTTTGAGTTTTAATATCCACTCTCACGGTGTCACAGCTGCTAGCCTAGCTTATAGGTTTGACGTCGACAACATTTAAAGTCAGCGGATTTACAGTTGAATCATGGGAAATACGTGCAGCTAGCGTTTGTCATCACATTTGTTATGAAGCCTCCACACTTGACAGCAAACAAACTAAGGGCCGTTCGTGTGGCATCAGGATGAATGATGCTGGCTCAGCAATATTCCCATAATCAGGCACTTCAAAATGCACAGGGATAGATGAGTCACTCACTGAAGTGAAAGTGAAACTTTGTGCTGATTGCAGCCTTTTTTTTCCCACACAACCTTGGCCAATTTTTTTAAATTAGCATTTCGCTACGTGCGACGTTACTGCAGGTTGTTACACTAATTAAGAACAGTTTCTTTTGAGACTATACATCACATCAAATACTGCCTTCTACTGCAGTATTACTCTTATGTGACTGTGATGCAGTATTACAACAGTAAATGTAATCGTTTGGACTTAAACAAGTGGAGTGCAACCAGCACACAGCACTTGGCTGTAATAACAATAGTATTGGATGATTGAGTATTAGTCGCTCTCCATTAATAACACATGATTTGAGACTTGACATGGACTCAGGATAAAGACTCAAGACCTGAATATCATGGAACACCAGACTTGATTTTTGGAAAGAATTTCGTGAACTCCTATTGAATATGTGGACAACACCCTGACCACCTTCTGAGTGTGAATATGGCTGCTGACCAATGCTCGATTGTCCAGGTATTCATCTACCAGTTCAGACGCTTCTGGTTTCAAACCCGAGCTGCCTTGCTCCGTACTGCCAACATTCTGCTTCTGTTAGTTGCCACTGCTTTAAGGCTGCTCTTTGCTGACCATGACACTCCGTCTTTGTCCTTTAAAGCTATTTCCTGCCGTACATAATACATGCCACACTTGTATTACAGTTGTATTCAAAGAACAGCTTTGTAATCTTTGGACTCGTGCAGAGACTCCCCATCTGCTGCCAGTCCATCCTCTCTTTCTCTCTCTCTCTCTCTGTGCTTGCATGCTGCAGTGCTGGAGTCATCACACTGTGACTCCATCTTCCTTCTTTTCCACTGACTCCATTCAACCCTTACACTGCAGCTGTTTGTTTCTCAGCCTCTGCCGTTGATTCATATTGAATCAATAAATGTTTAGCAGCTTTTCTGTGTCAGTCCATTTGTGCTGAAATTGTGTTCCTATCTCACCCATTGTGTATGCTAAATGCACAAATAAAGCAAAAACGAACCAGTAGTAGATAGGCACGATGCTTGGACCAGTAATACTAGCCCCCGTTATCTGGGAATATTCACGGTGTTTCTCCTTTTCTCTTTTTGCAACATTTTCAATCTCTTTTGTCATTTTTGTACAAACGTCATATTCAGTGAGATCCAAACTCATTCTGTGTGTGTTAAAACTCTCCTTCTCCACCGTCTCGTCTGCAGCCAACGTTACTGCATCTGCAACCCCGGTGTGGTGCGACAGTTCAGGAACCCTGATACCATTTTCATCCTGGCCTTTGCCATCATCCTCCTCAACACAGATATGTACAGCCCCAACGTCAAGCCTGACAGGAAGATGAAGCTGGAGGACTTTGTTAAGAATCTTCGAGGTGAGATGGATCTTTTTTGGAGTTTTGTGGTTGTTATCTAAAGCAGTTTTAAATGTGGTAGAAATTCTTCTTGAAGCGACCGCTGCAGGACATCTGAGTCTGTGCCTCGAGGACTGTGTGCTAATGCCGTATGTAATTACTGTAGTGAACATGATGAGGGTAGTTCTACTCATTACTGTGGTAGTCATTGTCACTTCTTCTTTGCTCTCGCTCTCAGGAGTGGATGATGGAGAGGACATCCCCAGAGGAATGTTGGTCGGAATTTATGAGCGGATTCAAAAGCGGGAACTTAAAACTAACGAAGATCACGTTTCACAAGTTCAAAAGGTGGAAAAACTGATTGTTGGTAAAAAGCCGGTGAGTTTTAAATTTGCATTTAGATTTGAGTGTCTGCATCATTAAAAGGAACTAAATTCACTAAACATTTAAGAATGTAAATGGACGATTACATTTTAATGTTGCACCTCCAATAACTGCTAACATGCACTGAGAAATAAGTTCATAATATAAAAGTTGCCATTTCAATAATAATTACTGTAACTCTTGCCTTGTTAATATTATACAATTAAATTTAATACATATCAGTCCATTAAGCTGAATTAATTTCAAATCACTCACCGAAATTGATATTGCAAAATTGAATATGTTTGATATGTTTTCTTTATATTCTTTGCTAGTATCTCACAACACATCAGTATTTCGATCAATCCCACTCACAATCACAACACATCAGTATTTCGATCAATCCCTGTACTTTCCTCTTACTTCACAGATTGGCTCCGTCCACCCTGGTCTTGGATGTGTAAGTAGAAGTTTCTGGCAGTATCATTCACAACATTTACACTCAAACCTTATAGCAAAAAAGCTATTCAGGGATTATAATCTAAGACTTATAATATCATGTCTTTATTTGTAGTCTGACCCCACCTCATAAAATGATTTTGTTGGTTGCAGACTAAAAGCCACAAAGGAGCCACAAAACTCAAAAAATTTCAAACGTAATACCATCTCTGACCAGCAGTAATCAACAGAAGAGGAGTGAAGGAATGACAAAACCTTAACATTAGGATGCGTTGTGTTTGCAGGTTCTGTCGTTGCCCCATCGACGGCTGGTCTGTTACTGCAGACTTTTTGAAGTGCCTGACCCCAACAAACCTCAGAAGTTGGGCGTACACCAGAGGGAGATATTCCTCTTCAACGACCTGCTGGTGGTATGACACACGTTTGTCTTCCTGCCCACTGAGATTACATTAGGACAGGGGAGGGGGCTACGCTACGTTAGCTCTGGAGGTACTATTCAAATGACCAGGCTAAAGTCATCTATGGTACCTACAGTAACATGAAGATCTTAAATATATATATATATATATATATATATACACTTATATACTGAACTATACATATATACACTACACTATACTACACTACACTATACTACACTAAACTACACTGTACTATACTATACTACACTACAGTGTACTATATAACACTATACTATACTATACAACACTACACTGTACTATACCTACTTACACTACACTAAACTATACTACACTATATTATACTATACTATACTATGCGATCCACTGGTAGAATGTGATCTACTTATTGGGCACTCCTGCATTAGGACATTACAAGTTCTAATTTTACATGTAACACTGTTTTTTCTGCCGTAGGTAACTAAGATTTTCCAGAAGAAAAAGAACTCAGTGACATACAGCCTACGGCAGTCTTTCTCCCTTTATGGCATGCAGTTGTTGCTATTTGAGAGTCAATGTAAGTGTCATGTCTGTTCATTTTAATCAAATGTTTGAATCAAGTGATGTTTTCAAACTCAGAGGTATTATTTCAAAAACAATGACCTGTAAACACTAATGAAAGATTGTGTATTTTTGTATGACGGGCACTTAAGTATTTTGTATTACTGTTAATATTTAGATTATCCTAACGGAGTCCGCTTAACCTCAGCCATTCCTGGAGTAGACACCAAAGTCCTCATCAACTTCAATGCACCCAATCATCTGGACCGTAAAAAGTTTACAGATGATTTACGAGAATCAATTGCTGAAGTTCAAGAGATGGAGAGGTATCGAATCCAATGTGAGCAGCTTTTTCTTTTTTTACCGAACACTTCAAGTACTGTTGGTATTGTTTGGTGCGAATGTCAACTTTAAATGTTTTCTTTTCTGCAGCTGAGCTTGAAAAACAGAAAGGTGTGGTGAAGCCAAACATGTCTCAGGGTTCAAGTCTGAAAGAGACAGGAAATGGCAACGTGAGTCAAGTTTGCGTCGATGACAGCTACGCCATTGGTGAAGGCCTGAAGAGGAGCGCCCTCAGCAGCTCCTTACGAGACCTCTCAGATGCAGGTAAAATAACAGCATCCTTAAGGATGGAGTATTAGGGTCTCTTTAGAATAAAAAAAAGTTGAAGGTTTTTTGAAGATTTTCCCCACTGGATATTCAAGGTTGTGAAGCTCGGTGAAAAGTTCCAATGTGGCTGAATGACGCTTGTGTAGCAGGATGATAGAGATTTGTGTGTGTTAGCGAAGACTAACATCCAGTAATCCTTCATCCCCAGTGACAGAGGGCTACATACGGCACAATGATCACTTCAGGTGTCTCAGCTGTAAAAGGAATTTATTTTGTGTCGTTAATTCAGAAACTGTGCCTCCAGTTTTTCACTGCATCCCAGAGCTAGGCTGCACTAAAACTCAAGAACCACAACACTGGGCTCTGAGTGAAGAGGAATAAAATATATAGTTCATTAGTTTTGGTGAGGTCTTCCTAAATGAGACAACTTATATTAAGTTGTAGCTATCAAAAACTCTGTTTACAAGTAAAAACATCTCACAGAATGAAACAGAAGAGGCAGAGCCACTCGCAGCCACTTTCCTTTTCTTTCAGTCCTTTGTCATTGTTGTCTGTCCATAGTTGGTCCTTTGAAACCAATGTCTTCTCAGGGAGTCAGATAGTGCCCTCTAGTGACCTCTAATGTCTAATGTCTGATGCTCTATGTTTTGGACAGGTAAGCGTGGGCGACGCAGCAGCGCAGGATCATTGGACAGCAACATGGAAGTAGGTTGGAGTCACCTGATTCTGAGCTAACTCTGGCTTTCTGTTCATTCCCCACACACCACTCTGTGTTATTTATCCATTCTTTTCCACTGAAGTGCTGATTTACCTCCTTTTTAAAAAAAACATTCCTTTTGCTCCATTTTGGTTAGCAGTCAGTTTCTCTGTTTGTTTAGTTCTGTCCGTTTTTCCTGTTTTCAGGGGTCGATAATTAGCGGCCCTCATGTTCGACAAGGGACACCCTCAAATCGAGACTGTCCATCCCGCCACAGCGGTCAACCTCTGCCAAACCCGCCCATGATCGGATCTTTGTTCAACACCAGGCGAGCGAAGTCTCCTAGCCTCGTCCAGCAGCCAGTGCACCCTATGCTGATCTCTCGCACCCAGAGTCCAACCCACTTGACCCACGCGGCTCGAGATGAGGCGAACAGCCCAGTCCCAATGCACCCACACCACGTCCAGTTCTGTCACATAACACAGAACCCCCCACCTTACTATCACCACCACCACTTTCGGCCCCCGACCCAGTTGCAGCACTCGCCGCACCAGTTTCACGCCCCATCAGCTCACAGCCAGCAGCAGCAATACCAGTCTCACACATACCACGGCTACGGTAGCAATTCCTCACATTCCCCTGTCCCTGCTCATGGAGCCCATTACCACGGAATGTCGCCTCCACCTCCTTCTCAGGCCAGCAGTAGCACCAAGCCCAAGCAAAGTGGAATCAGTACAGTGGTGTGAGGTGCAGCGTGGCCTCACGCTGTGCTCTCCTCCTGAACTCACTACAAACCACTCGGCTAAAAGTAGGTGTTGTCTTCAGTATGTTTTCTCCAACTCAGTAGTGGACAGGTGTATTCACATATTTAATCTTTTAGAGATCCTTTTTTAATTTCCATTTAGATTATAAACATGTCTGCTTGCCTTAATGGCAACAAGTAATAATAGAACTGCATGCAAAAAGACCACAAGTACTGTTCCACCTCTGTGAAGTCAATACATACATACAGATATATATATATATATTTATATATACATATACAGTATATTTGAAGTGTCATGATCCAAACATCACGGATCGGTACGGACCCAGAAAGGCTCAGAAGACCTAACTGCACAATTATACATTTATTAGGGTTCACATTAAACAGAAAGAAGACTAACATTGAATGTAGAAGTGCCTGAGATCACTGGTGCAGCCTGTAGGGGGAAACAGTAAACCGTGAACATGACGTAGTCCCTGTGACCCATCGTAGCGCTGTTAACAATAAGTCAAAGGGTCATAATTACATATAAAAACGCACAACCATCTTAAAAAAGTACAAAAATGGAAAAGAAAGAAGTGTTGAATTCTTCCATCTCGAAATAATATATATATATATTTATTTTATTGAATACTGTATATTACTTTATTGTAATGAAAGTCGTAACAGGGGAGTCGCCGGATGATCCTGATTTGCATGTAAAAACACGAGAAAACTGATTTGGGCTCAGTGAGAGCTCACCTGGAGTCTCCTGATGCAGGGACAGGTGTATTTTTTTTCCATTCACCAGACCAGGCTCATCTGTTCAAACTAGAGCTGGATCGATACAACGTTTTCATGTTTGAAACCAATGCCGATCCTGCAACTTGGAGTCCCTGCTGATACTGATAGAGTCTATGTTTACGACATGTTGTGCAAAGTTAGGTTGAGCATTTGGGCTTAGGTATCGGAGGAGACGGGCTATAGTTGTTGTTTTTTTCCGATCTTCAGTCCTGAAATTTAAACTAATGTCGGACCTATACCAATCCTGAGTATCGGATCCTGAGATCTACTACTAATTAATGATTCAAAAAGACTCATGTGAGCATGGTAACCCTGACAGAGTCCCAAAAAGACTCATGTGAGCATGGTAACCAAAGGTTACCATACCAAAGGTTCAGTACAAACACACTCTGTTACAGCCCGAACCTTTATGAACTTCACATCATTTTGGTAAAAAGGGTTTTTCTTGTGTCAGGTTAGTGTATCTGAAGACAGACACACGCAGCGGCCGTAGCAGTATCTGAGTATTAGTATTTAAAGTAGTCGTAGATCACTGTGATTTTTTGTTAGCAGTGATAGATGTGACAGTTATTCTTTTCATTTAGTCACAAAACATGCAACATACGATGTGCATGATATTTTGTAAAATAACTATGAGCTGTTGATATAAATGTCATGTTATAACAGAACGTGGTGTATCAATTCAAATAACTCAGTGTTATACACTACACACTGTTGTTGGTATATATTTGCAGTGCTGTTCAGAGATGACTGACGTGTTGTGTTCGTTGTCTGAGTAGAACACGACTGTGACGTCAGTGTAGATGTTAGAGCTGGGACAGGAACGTTATCTGTAGCTACTGATTAAACACATTCATATATCACACCATCTGTTACTGGCTGGTCTAATTTTATTTTGTACTATTTTTTATACAAATTAATAATACTAAGAGGTCTATCTTTACCTGGTTGGACTCCAAAAAAACTGTTCCAAAAGAGGCAGATGAGGAACCACAAACCTCCAGTGCAGGGACTCTGCAGCAGGGACTGTCTGACATTTTCTCTTGATGTGAAGGAACTCAGCTGGCTGAGTGTCTCTGTCTTTATTATTATTTTATTCTTTTACATGTCCAGAACTACAGGTGCAGTCGGGCAGTTCTGTCTTTACTTCTTGGGTCTGCATGGAGGAATGTTTTCTGTTGAAGTGATACTCACAGAACTGATATTCATCAATAATAATGCATAAACATTTTGGATTTATTTTATTTTTAAATTGTACAATATGTATTTACTTCTTGTCATTATCAATTGAGGTTGGGTCATTCTTTTTTTATCTTTATACCTTTGCCATTTTTTCAGTGTTTGTTCAGCAATGATTAGAAAAAAAAACGTTTTTAGACTTTTCTTAGGGCTCGGAAATTTTGAATAATATGGCCGCAGGTAACAAAACACAAGTTCCATTTCAAGAACAGACTACACTTTCTGGAAATATATTGAAAAATTAATATAATTAATACATAAATGTTAATACAAGAAACACTCTCCAAAACATTTGGCACAAAGCCAAGTTTATCACCATCTGGATTAAAAGCATGTGGTCCTGGCATTTCAATAAGATAAGACAAGTCCTTTATATGAGTCCAAATGTTGGGACCTTGTCTATCATAATATCATGGCAGCTTGCCAGAAAGTAAATCTTAGATTTTTACATTATACAGAATATGTGTTGCAGAGACAAATTTCTAAATTAATTTTGCCCACAGAATTATTAGAACATGATTTGTCCTTCTGCTTGTCATACAAAGCCTCAGGTGAATTACACCTATACAGTTCTATTGCAGTTTTAGAAAGTGTAAAAACTTTTAGAAATGGAGTTTGCACTAGGAGACTTTTTCTAACTGTTGTGTTTTGTGTATTATTGTGTAAATTGTACTAGGTTGCAGTAAAGACTTGTTCCAATCCCTGTTAGAGGAGTTATAACTGTGACACCTACAAGGATAACAACTTCCAAATACTTTCCTGATCCAAAGTGTTCTCTCTATATGAAACATTACAAAAACAATTACTACGACCAATGCCCCTTTTGCAGTAACTCCTTAAATACACATTGTAAAGATTACTGCAAAGCTTTACTGTCAAAATATACTTTCCCACATACTTGTTACCTGTGTTTCTAGAATGAAGTTGGGCACCACAAAAAATAAAACTAGACCTTTATACGGTATATATATTTCAGTATATATATTTATATATTAATATAATCAAAACCCATTATGCCGTAGTTTCTTCAGAAAAAAGAATCATTGGTAAAAATCTGTTCAAATTCTACGTGAGAGACAGTGTGCTCTGATCACTGCAGATCTTTTCTCTCGTCTTCGTTTTTGAAACGTTATCCCTGTGTAGTAATTGACTTGTTACATTTTTCTTGCATTGATAGTGGGCGCAAAATGTTTCAGTAAAGTTTTATTTTTAAAAAACTGTTCTAGTTTACATTAAGACAGGTTTTGACCAAACTTGGTGTTTTGTCATGAAATGTTTCATCACTTTTCCTTGACTGTATGTTGTTCAGTGAAAACAGACAGTTCTATTTGGAAAATCAAATGTTACATACAGAAAGTAAATGTGTGGAAAAGAAAAAAGCTTTCAATGGATAACAAGAAAGTAAAGAAAAAAATACATGTAAATAAACTGTAAATGATTGGTTATTTTCAATATTAGAATTACTACTACTCCATGTCTAGTTGCACTGAAGGTGCATTCCTACTATTCAATGATATATACGTAGATATCAAACTGCTTCTCTCTGCCTCTGACATTATTCAATTAGAAATTCACGTGGAGACAAATGGTAACTTCTCCTTATATTCCCCTGTTATCCTGGGATCACAGCCCTCTATAAAGACAAAGAAAAGGAAGAAGTGCTTCTATTTTATCATGCATTCTAATTCGAATCAATCAACGCCATCATTGTTGTTGAACTATCACTGTGACAATGTTAAGAGTGCAAAATAAAAGGATATTCTGCAAAAATATGAAAAGCTTCTGAGTAAGTTTTATAAGGGTTAGAGAAAAGTGTGTGTGTTTTTCCCCTTAGTTTGCAGAACACCCAAGGCTGCTTTCCTGCCCTTGTGGGGCAGGTGATCTGAGGGAAGGTTTGCTTCATGTGAGTCATCATCTGTGTCAGCAGAACCAAGTGGTCACACACTTAAAATAGGTTGAGCCGAGGTTTCATTTACTCGTGGGTACCATTAATGATAGGTAACACTAATAAACTACAGCCAACATAACAGCAGTCACTCACAGTGCCTGCATATATGAATTTAATTAAGAGGCAAATCTGACATTTTTCCACCTAACTTGATTTGTTCAAATTAACGCTAAATTGTTGCCAACAGTGCGGCTGCGTTTGACATCACTTTCCACCTAATAGGTAAAAGACGGAATAGGAGATCCTAAAATCTGTAAAAGACAGAATCGCGTCATGAGGTGGGATTTTTACTTTAACATTTTCAGTGACGTCCTAGATGAGCAGCGAGGCATCGGGAGAAATGGTTGTCCTGCCAACGCCTCCGTAAACAGCTAATAGGGAGACGTCACGGTGACGTCAGGTGTAATTTTTGACGAAGACGTGAACTCACCGTCGAACCATGTCAAGATAAAACTAACTCACCGTCGAACCATGTCAAGATAAATACAAGTATATAAATACAAGTATAGTTACTGTATTGTTTGATTATAATCAACTTGAAGTATAAAATGATCTGTATTAAGACAACGTTAACAGGTGGAATACTTTACCCCTGTCCTAGTTTCTTTGCAAATTGCGCCCCCAACTGGTGTTTCCTGTGTGTTGTTATGCTGTATCCATTTGGTTGAACAACCAGACAAAATATTGTCTTAATTTATTGCCATGATGTGAATGACTATATATAAGGGCTTTTTGGTTATATAAAGCTCTATCTATCTATCTATCTGTCTGTCTGTCTGCCTGACTATCTACCTGTCTGTCTATCTATCTGGCTGTCTGTCTGTCTGTCTATCTATCTAGCTATCTATCTATCTATCTATCTGTCTATCTATCTATCTGTCTATCTGTCTGTCTGCCTGTCTGTCTGTCTATCTATCTATCTGTCTGTCTGTCTGCCTGACTATCTACCTGTCTGTCTATCTATCTAGCTATCTATCTATCTATCGTGGGAGGAGGGAGGGACAAGGCAACCACATAATCGATGTTGATTGGCTAAGGCAGAGTAAGCTTTTGAATAAGCCAATCAGAGATAGTGACTCACACAACCAGCTCACACACCTAAAGTAGCAGAGGTAAGTGCCTACAATGGAGGGAAAGTTGGCGTTTTTAAAAACGGAAATACAGGCTGTCCTTCAGTCTACTATGGGTAAAAGCCAACAATGTGAAGTGAACACTGTGAAGTGTTTGTCCACGTCCGTTTTAAGGAACTGTCATTTAATGAAGCACCTCTCTACGGCACACGCAAACTACAAAACACCGTTGTTGACACTGTTTACGATAGTGGACTAGCTGTGGCTACAAGAGCTAAGCTAACAAAGAAGGACACAGACCCAGGCCGTGCAAACAGCTAAAGGTTGATTTTTCTGCTTCAGTTTCTAACAATATACTTGTGTAGTATGTCTGCCAGTTGTGTGAAGTTTGGTTGATTTAATTTACACTACAGCGTTAAAGCACCTCATAGATAAACCGTTTACTTTTATTTTTAAGAAAATATTTGAGCAGTATAGTACGTACATTACATACGTTAAAAGTAGTTCATATTGTGGAGGATTTTTAGACATCCAAATACTGCTGTTTTTTAAAGATATTAACATTTTATAAATGTAAGATTTTTCATAAATTATTTTGGAGTCTGCACTGCATGAGATTGAATTATATTTTTTTCACTGGAAATGACACAATTGCTGACATCATTGTATATCACAGTTGTGGAGATATAATGTTAAGAATTTAAATTGTTCTTATTTATTTTAACCTCGTTAGAGTTAATGTGAAAGCAGTATTTCGACTAAATTATATGCATAAAGATGACGTTACACGTACGCGTAGCACGTTTAATTACTATGCATCACGTCATCAGTGTGCGACAGATTTAGGTGAAAGGTTTCATTCTCTACTTGTTTAGGTTGTCAATCTATGGATTGTCGGAAGTAACGAAGAAAGGTAAAAGGATGATGCATGTAAACAGGTTCGTTGTTCTGCCCAAATGCCTTCACCTCGGGAAACGGATTTTTACTCACAATGTGAGACATGCTGTTCGGCATATCCAGCAGCAGCAGCAACAGAGGTCCATCAGAAGTGACTGCAGACTCCTGTCCTACGCTAAGGATCTGTTCCTGGGGCAGATAAACAAGGTAAAACGCTGCTTTGTGTTTTATTATACGCTTTACACTCCCTCGCCCTCTCTCTCCTTTATTTATTTATTTTTTTATAATTTTACAGTCTGGTGTCTTGTCTTCAAAAGGAAAATGTGAAATAAACAATTTTATTAAAAAAATACTAAAGTAAAATTAAACAATTAAGTTCTATACATAAGAAGAACAAAAGCATTTTCAGATATTTACAGTAGTAGTATTGTCAAAGTCACATTTGTAGACACTATGTGCAAAGTTTGCTAACTGCACCAATGACTTTCCCCGCTGTGCTGCAGTGTTGGTGGTTTTATAGTCCATGTCACACGGTGAATCAGCAAGATGGTACCTCTGTAGAAGAGGTGTTGGGCCATTGTTTGTCTTCAGTTTGTGGAGAATTTACAGGCATTAGTCATACTTAGTCAGTGATGCAGTGTTCTGGCCAGTTCTAAAACCCGTCCATGCCCTAAGCATGCAGGCCTTTCCAGGTGTCTGGGGAAACTCCTCTGGTTTGCATACCAAGATGTAATTCATTCTTCTTTGGGAAGTGAAATTTCTTATCAACATAAGAAAAGTGAATGCTGCAGTAAGTAGATAGAAAAAAAAGTGTAATTTTGCAAGTAGACCTCCTGTATATTGAACAATGGGCCTCTAAAGTCATGTTATGTCAAAATATTACAAAAGAAGTGTTTATGTTTTGCTAACATTTTCAGCCAAACATTGTTGTCACAGCTATATATAAGCTGTTTCAGTCACTTTATGGATTTTATATTTGTTTTATGTTCTACAATAAGCTGAAAGATGTTTTTGTATTTTTATTAAATCAATTTTTCCCCTCTAGGCTGAGGTGTTTCCTTATCCAGAAATTGGAAATGAAGAATTGGAGGAAATTAGGCAGCTTGTTGCTCCAGTGGAAAAATTCTTCAGGGAAATTGGTAAAAAGTGCTCTTAGCAATATGCAGTGCTAATTATAACGTTGCAGTCTGATTGTTATATACAATCTCTATTTCATGTTTTTAGTTGACTCAACAAAGATTGACCAAGATGCAAAAATCCCAGAGGAAACCTTGACAGGACTAAAGGAGCTTGGACTGTTTGGAATCATGATTCCTCCAGAATATGGTAAAATCACATTGAACCTCTCCAGGTTTTGTTCCACCTCTTCTCTACTCTCAGCACAAATAACATACATATATTTATTCAATTCCTTTTAGGTTGAAACCACCTCCAATGTTTCTGGCCTCGGTCTTTCTCTCTTTTACACATGCCATATCTCTCTGTTCTCTTTCTTTCTTGCCTTTAGGGGGTCTAGGATTGTCCAACACTATGTATGCACGTCTGGCAGAGATCACATCCTTGGATGGCTCTATTGCTGTAACACTTGCTGCTCATCAAGCCATCGGACTGAAGGTAAAAATAAAAACCTAATTTATCCAGTGGAATAAATTAAAATAGTATAGATTATTAATAAAGTACCAGTTATAAATACCTTGGCCTGTGGGTGTCAGGGAATTCTGATTGCAGGTACTGAAGCCCAAAAGAACAAGTACTTGCCCAAACTGGCCTCTGGAGAACACATAGCAGCCTTCTGTCTGACGGAAGCTGGAAGGTTTGTTTGTTTTTTCTCTGGTCCCACTATGTTAGCGAACTAGTATGAACTAACTTAACAGCAGAAATTACATTCACAACAGACTTTTGAATAAGTAATGTTTATTTAATGTCCATGCTCAGTTTATAGTTGTTTCATGTTTCATATTTGGTTGTTATGAGGATACATTTTGCACTGAAGAACACTTTACTTTTTTATATATGATGTCAATTGTAGGAAGTAGGTGTGCAAATATCTCTATACAACTATAACTTACACTAACTATCATTATAGTGGTAGTGATGCAGCCTCTATTAAAACCCGGGCCACTCTGTCTGAAGATGGAAAACATTACCTGATCAATGGCTCCAAGGTTAGAGGAAATACCAGTCCACTCCAATAACATTACATCTTTGGTGACGATGTATAATGTCTTTTCATTATTTGCTGTGATGCCAGATTTGGATTTCTAACGGAGGCCTTGCAGATATAATGACAGTGTTCGCCAGGACGGAGGTTGATGTGGATGGTGTTAAGAAAGATAAAATTTCAGCATTTATTGTGGAGCGGGCCTTTGGGGGCATCACCAGTGGCAAGCCTGAGGACAAGCTGGGCATCAGGGGCTCCAACAGTAAGCATTCTTGCATTCGTGATCATCAGATGAGTTCTTCTGTTCTCTTAGTCACGTGTGTGAGAGTTTCAATGTGTTTAACATGAAACCTGTTTTTCTACAGCATGTGAAGTGTCCTTTGACAATGTCCCTGTGCCAGTGGAGAATGTCATTGGAGAAGTAGGTGGTGGATTCAAGGTGAGCGCCTTATTGTTTTCACTAAAATCTTATATAATATTTCTGTATTTTAAAGAAACAGTAAAATCTGCTTTTTTCCACATCAGATTGCCATGAACATCCTGAACTCAGGAAGGTTCAGTATGGGCAGTTCTGTAGCCGGAATGATAAAGAAACTAATTGGTAGGTGGACGAGAAAACGGCATAACTGTAATGTAATTATGTGGGTTAATTGAAAACACTGACGTGTTTGGCTTTATTTGTTCAATCCTAAGAAATGACCTCTGAGTACGCAGCAACTAGGAAGCAATTCAACAAAACCCTAGGTGAATTTGGTATGATTCAGGTACACTTCTCCTTTTGTTTTATAAAAACATGTCTATCAATGTTTCCATGAACTCATGGGTGAACTATATGTTGGTTCTGCAGGAAAAGTTTGCCATAATGGCTCTTAATGCCTATGTGATGGAGAGTATGGCCTACTTGACAGCAGGGATGATGGATATACCTGGGCTTCCAGACTGTTCTGTGGAGGCTGCTATGGTCAAGGTCAGACAGCTCTGTCACTGAGCACTTTATGATAAAGAACATTGTGTTGATGTCTGTTCTGTTCTCTGCTAAGGTGTTCAGCTCAGAAGGAGGTTGGATTTGTGTCAGTGAAGCTCTCCAGGTCCTGGGAGGTCTGGGTTACACCAAGAATTACCAGTTTGAACGCTATGTCAGGGACTGTCGCATCCTGCAGATCTTTGAGGTACTTTAACAGCTACTGTGTAAACTCGATTTAAAGCCACAGGTCTTGACGTGTGATTCATTTTTTAAATTTCAACCGATGCATCGTTTCATCCCTGAACTATGTCGACTGGTGTGTGTTTTCAGGGGACTAATGAAATCCTGAGGATGTACATAGCTCTGACTGGATTGCAGTATGCTGGCAAAATTATAACAGGGAAAATCAAGTAAGATACTGGCATTTTTGCAACATAAAATATATAATATTATTGATGTAGAGCGCTTCTTGGATTGCAACATTTAGAGTATTTCTTTCATTTAAGTTACATTTTTGAACCGTCAAACTATGCTACAAGTATGCGTTGTATTTAACATTTACATTAACATTTAACATTTCCTTTGTGAAATGCTGTAAATCATCATTAGATACACTACACACAATCTGGAAAATTGTATTTATTTTTATATGAAAAGATAATCCCAACATTTTTCATCTCATCTGGTATTTTAAAGGAAACATTTCTTTGATTTTGCTTCACCGTATCTCTTTTGTCTTTGCTATCAGAGAGATGAAGAAAGGAAACGTTGGTATGGCTGTGAGCATGACGTTCAAGAAACTGAGGTTCCTTTTGGGACAGTCAGTCGACCTTGGCCTTACTGGACTAGATGGTGTGGTACACCCGAGTCTGGAAGTAAGAACATCAACGTCTTTTCTCTTAAAGATAATTTACCTTCCTTTAGAAGTGTCTCAGCTGTTGTGTGATTGCAGGAAAGCGCAAAGAAGTTGGAGAATAACGTCTACACTTTTGGAGCCACAGTGGAGAGCCTACTCTACAGATATGGAAAGGTAACATTTGTGTCTCCGTGGTCTTGAAAGTCAATCAAAAAACAGTATGAACTTTATTGGATTACATTGTGTAATGCGTGATTGTCAAACGATTACATTGTGTAATGCGTGATTGTCAATCGTTCATCCGCTCTACTTATCTAGAAAGCTTCTTTGTCAAGTCGCGTTCATGTCTTCTCTGCTTTTCTAAAACATCTAAACTAAAGATCAGAAATAATCAGAACCTAAACATCTCTTGACTCTTTGTCAAACACAGCAGAGGAAACACAGCTTTAACATTTGCACTTTACCTAAATAAAAAACATTGTTCATGGTAATGTAAATAAGTGGTTTAGACAAAAGCCTGCAGTGACGTAGTAGATAGAGCCATTGAATATTACCATTACATTTTCAAATCTACATCCTGTATCTTCTACAATTTACATTAAAAAAGTAGCTATATCTTCACCAGTGTCACTGCTCTGCACTGTGTTGGTTGATGAAGTGATTTTCTCTCTGACGTCAGTAAATTATTTGTTATTCTACGTTACTGATTGGCAACATCCCCATACATGCGTCGACAAGCTAATGTTGATACAGCCCAAAATCACTACCCTTACTTCCTGTGTTTTAAACATCCTTTGACACGTTAACCCCTGTAACTGAAATAATGTACCAGCATTCCTAAACAGTACACAAGAAATAATGTATGTTATTTACAGTGTATTTGTTAATTTTTCTCTCTGAATCTGACAAAGAGCATAGTGGATGAACAGCTTATACTGAAGAGAGTAGCCGATGTGCTGATCAACCTCTATGCCATGACGGCAGTCTTGTCCAGAGCCAGCCGCTCAATCAGCATCGGTCTGAGGAATCATGACCATGAGGTAAGAACGGTACTAATCCACACGCCGAGTCTCAACTTAAACTATTGGTAGAATAGTTAAGAAAACCTGCAAAGCATTTCTGGCTGGTCAATTTGTCTCAGTGGGCTTTAATTAAAAAATTAAACTTAAAATATCATCCAACAAACATTTAAAAGGAGCAACAGTTGCTCAGTGTAAAGGTTCTGACCTGCTTAGATTCTCAGTTTGAAGGAAGTGTCCGTTGGCATAAAGACACTATCCCTTGGTGAAAGAGATTTTTGTATATTACATATTGGGATATGTGTGGCAGTTATATGTGCACAAGGGCAAAACGCTGATGCATTTGTCAGTCGTGTTTATTAATATTATATCAACACCTGTGACCAGACCATATTTGAAGAAGCCCATGAACTGAGAAACATCACAGTAGAGTTCTTGGATCTGAGTGGAAGAAGTGGTGTTTGTGTGTGTTTGTGTGTGTGCAAGTCTGCGTTTGTCTATTCTGTACATGTGTGTTTGTTCGAGTGTCTCTATGTGTCTTTAATCAAAAACATTAATGTACCGTTGAGTAAGACAAATCCTAAACAGGCACACATTTGAGACGGCACTGGAGGCCTTGTCTCAACCTCCTCTGTGTCTCAGATGTGCACTTCAGTTCTTTTCTTCTTCTCTGATTCCTCAGGCATCAGAAATGTGTTTGTGTAAAGGACATACACAGATCCCGTCTGTGTGTTTGTTCCATTACTCCATTCCAAAGATAGTTGCTCTTTTTTTTTCTTTAAGCAGCAAATATCCAGTTAGCTGGATCAGTCCAGTTCAGTGCAGATGTGACTTAAACCGTTTTACTTTACGTACTTATTGCGGATGTCATTGAGGAGATGATAACGTTACTGTTGAATCTGTGCCATGCTGTTGTCAGTTTGACACTATCAGTGAGTGCTGTTCATTTGCAGGTTCAAACTGTGTTTTTGGTTCATTTTTCTAGGTGCTGCTCACAAACACGTTTGTCAGTGAGGCTTTCTTCAAGAACAATTACATGATGACTCAGCTGCAGAAACGTGAGTCCAGCCCTACATTTTAATTGAAAACAGACCTGTGCTTTTCTTTCCTTTGTACTGTGTCTGAGAATAACAGACTTGCATGTGTTGCTAAATTTCCCCAAAGTCCACATACCAACTCTGGAAATCCTGTTGCTTCTCACTGAAATGTTTTCAATGTTCCATTGTCTTTCTTTACTCAACTCAGTGTCTGTAGTATCAGGGTTTGTAGTAGAACACTTCATGTTCAACAAGTGAAAAGGCAGCTCTAACTCCCACTCTGACCTGTTTTAGATACTCCTGAGAACATTGATGCCAACATCAAGAAAATCGCCACGGACGTGTTACAGAACAGAGCCTACATCTGCTCTCATCCTCTGGACAGAACATTCTGAGCCCCCTCCTCCTGCCCCCCCGTGCCTCAGCAATGTCTCTCTGGGTAGAAGAATGACAGGTTTACTCACAGTGAATCATTTTTACTCCTAGATTTATACAATAAATGTAAATTTACTGTAATGTTATTAGTAAAAGACTTTTTTAACAATGGCCTAACATCAGATCTACTGGGATGACTTGTCTTGTTTAAAGTGTTACTGTACTGGTTAAATGTGCTGCGTGGAGCCCCCCACCCCACCCTCACCCCGTCTGTTTTTCTTTCTCCTAGTGCCTAAATAAGTCCTTATTTAATAAGATATTAAAGTGTGTGACCAACCAGGTATAAAACATGTCTGATAATTAAATCCATCTCCAGAAATCGTTTGAAGGGACGTGGAGCAGAGCCTGGGACCTTTGGGGTATCACTGCATTTTTACCACTTTCCCAGGGACTACACAGTTTTTAATCGTTAGCCACAAACACAAAAGTCCAGGGACTACACAGTTTTTAATCGTTATCCACAAACACAAAAGTCAAAATGCTTTATCATAAATATGTTTTGTTTTTGTTTTTTTCACTTTTGGATAATGTCTGTAGTTTTAGTATCTGGCTTTTCATGTTGCCTTTAAAAGTCTCTCTGTTTTTCTGTATATCTGAACAAAAATCTTACTTATGCAAACAAAGATAATTCTTTATACTGTAGAGGTTTACTTTAAGACAACCAGACATATGTTTGGCTGTGGAGGAATACAAAAAATAACCAGACGGGCCAGACCTGGACCATGGACCTTGAGTTTGAAGACATGCATCTGCTTTAAAAAAAAAAAAGAAAACAAAGAGCTTCTGATATTGTCACTGACGGTTGTGTACACCTTAAAAACTGAATTGCAACTAAAATGTGGAAACCTTTGCGATGATTATTGGGTTTGGATGACGGATGTGTTGTTACTGCTGTAGATTCAGTTTATAGTCTAGTCTGGGCTGAGTCTAGTCTCTCTTCTCTGTTAGCTACGATTACCACTGGGAGCTGAGGCTAAAGCTGAAAACATTTAAGAAAATGCTGATCCAACAGCCATTTATTACTGTCAGCTGTGATGAAACAAAAAGGATAAATAAGAAATGTAAGAAAAAAACACACTTTTAATTTGAATTGGTATTACAGCAGTTTACACATGGTAATTATAACGCGTTTTTAAAACCCCCCTGCTGCAGATTCAGATTGATGGAGCTTAACTTTGAATTTATGATTCAGTTTTAGACGGCACGGCCCACAAGTTTGGGTTCACTCATACCTCCCTCAGTCACAGCAGGAAACTGTTAGACGCTGTGGAGCATTCAGCCTTTAAAGAGGCAAATGTTTCCCTCTGTGATTGATTGAATCCAAACGTTAGTCCAACACCAATAAAGTTCATGTGAGGCTTTCAGTCAGAACAATCAGGACTTTAACAACTGAATGAAACACGTCTGGCAAAACCTTCTTGATTAGACTCTCGAGAAAATAGTTAAATCATCAACAATTATCAGGTAATAATCAGCGTCTGTATGTCCACCACTCACCACGTCTAACGTCTACTCATTCATCTTCTAGTACTGGTCACTTCAGGGTTGCAGGAGGAGCTGCAGCCAAGGCTGGAGGACACCACAGAGTCATCACAGGACAACGTATACAGTATGGACAGACAACATCTAACCCTACGGTCAGTGTCCAAGTAACATAATCCATCATGTATTTGGATTGCAGGACAAAGCTGGAGTACCTGGAGAAACATGCATGTAAACAGACAAAGATACTAACCACGTTTATATTAATGGCAATGGCCTGAACAAAAAATGTTTTTTCCTGTTAGCTTTTAATAACCTTTAATTTTTAAACTGTTAAAAACCTTAAATCTTTAGTCTGTCTCACTGTTATCACAAGAATCTCGTATTCAAAAAGACATTATTGTGAACACCAGACATGTATACACGTATATATACGTGTGTATGTATATATGTATGTATATATATAAAAAATGTATATACAGTATATATATGTCTGTATACACACACGCGCATAAATATGTATGTGTACGCGCGCCTGTTTGTGTAAGTTTATACACCTGGTGTCAATTAGCCCGGCTCAAGGTAGTACTGTATACGTGAACTTTGTGTACAGCGTGGGGCTTATACCACCGACAGGATTTAACTCTTCACACCAGAGAACAACAACACATGTAGATAAAACCATAAACAGGGTGGACATTAGCTGGTCATTTAAATTGTAATCCTTTTAATGTGTGTAATATGTCTTGGTAGTTTTTGAATTTGGGGCAGTGCAACTTTCAAATCTGCCCCCGTGTGGTCTAAACACACTCCTCCTCCCTCCCCTCCCCCTTCTCTTACCCCCCTCTTTATTCAGCAGCTCTGGTTGTTTCTGCAGTCGGACGCACACACACACACACACACAGACAGAGACGGGGAGATGCCATGGAGACAAAGGCAGTCCGCTCCTTAGACTGTGTGTAAGTATGAAGCTGCGCTGTCATGGATGCAGTCGACTCTGCTGACCCATACAGACGACCGGCGCGCAGGACGCAATGGATTGTCAGCACCCTGGCTTACCATTACGGATTGGACCGTGGAGTGGAGAACGAGGTCATCGTTTTGGCCACCGGGCTGGATCAATATCTGCAGGAGATTTTCCATCACATGGACTACCAGGGTGACGACAGAATACCAGTGGAGGACTTCAACATTCTGTGCAAAGTTCTGGGCCTGAACAAAGACGCGGACGACGAGTGCGCAGGGGTTCTGGAGAACTTACCCAGCGAGCTCACCTTCAGGCACTTCCACGCTAAACTCTGTGGCTACTTCAGCACAAAGGCGGGCTGTCAGTACGAGGACGACCGGCTGTTGGTCGGGAAGGACAGCGAGCACATCGAGACTCAGATCCACCTCAGGAGCCCGCTGCAGCGGCGGGGCAGGCTGCTGTGTGTGCGCTCCTCTTCTTCAGCGGAGGGGCGACATGCATCCGGCTGCAGACTCGGCTCCTGCACCAAGGAATGCTACGAGGAGATCGTGGCTCTGGAGGAAGCCGAGGACCAAATTACTAAACTGGAGGACGAAAATGCAAGTTTGAGAGAGTTGATCGAAGACATGCGCGCCGCTCTCCAGAGCAGCGACGCTCGATGCCTGGCTCTGCAGGTAAGGATGACGCTGGAGTAAACGGGAGAAAATGCTGAACTTTTTCAGCCTAAGTGTAAGTTGGCAACGGCAATGGGAACCATGCTTTGGGGGAATTACTGGTTATGTGTAGGAAAACCCCCTTCCGCCCCTCCCATCCACCCCAAAAGGCCCAAACCCACACTTTTTAAGTCACTTTTACCATGCATCACAAGATTCCAAGAAGAATCTTTGAAGAAAACTGTAATTTACAGTAACTACAATACTGTAACTGAATAGCATCATCAGATCTGTTCATAATACTACTGTAACTTCATATTACACAGAAAGGTTTTTCTGAGTTACAGAGAACTGTAAGTCATCATGTAGTGTCTGTAGTTCATCTTTCAGCAGGGGTCACCACAGATCACCACCCATCCCCATGTGTTCCTGTACAACATCCATGTGTCCTTTTGGGTTTTCTCTAGCCACCATCTCATCTCCACCTTGCATCTCTTCCTCTGATCTGTCCATCCTCATCCTCGGTCCGAGACACTGCCGTGAACCACACACCACAGCAGGCCTCACTTTGAGATAGACCTCTCAGTGTTACTGCTATCTTTCTTACACACATCTCGCCCGACATCTGTCTGCACCCTCCTCCTGAAGTGGTTTCTGCACCACCCAGTAATTTGGATGGCTGATCCCAGGTCTGTAACCTCAGCCACCATTACTGTATCGACTTCTTGCTACGTTTCCATCAACATTGCAAACAAGAAAGGGTTTAGAGCAGATCCTTGATTTAAACCCTACTCTTACCCTCAACCCATCTGTCATTCCAACTGCACACATCACCACTAAGCTCTGCACCGCCCTAACATATATTTACCACTCCAGACTTCCTTATATGTCATATGTTTCTCGATCGACACATACACCCAGCTGCTGGGACTATGTTGCCTCAGTGTATTTAATGTTTCACGATTTACAAAGGATTTTTTTTTTGGTCCCTCATTTCTGCTGTTGCTCTTGCCCCTCAGGTCGGTCTGTGGAAAAGCCACTCCAAACACGGGGCAGAAGAAGGCTGCTTTGTTGCCCACCAGAAACCAAGTGTCCATCACACCATGAGCACCAACACGAACATAAAGAGTCTGCAAAACATCATCAACAAAATTGAATTGCTGCAGACCTCCAGAGACCGGCAGGTTGCAGAAGCTATGCTGTGTAACCACAGACTGCAGCAGGAACTGTGGAGCTCCAAAGAGACGGTAGCTGCTCTGGAGGAGTGTAACAGTGCACTTAAGAGGGAGCAGGTGAGTATGAGGAGGAAAGTGGAGGAGGCCAGACAAGCCCTGCTAAATGGATTGGGAAAAGTGAAGGAACTGGAGGCCAAGACCAACTGTGTTCCACTGCTGCAGAGGAAAATCCTTCAGCTGGAATCAGAGCTCCTTTATTACAGGTATGTCTTTGATCCACAGGAAGAAATTACAGCTTTCATTTAAAAATGAAAGCTGTAATTTGACCACAACTGTAGAAATTATAACACACATTCATCATTTATTTTTAATTTCTAACTACATAGTGTTGACATGCGATTTCCTCAACTGGATGTTGTTGTTCCTGCCTCTTATTCACTTCTGTGCTGTTATGCCAACCATCTATTTATCCTGCTTCACCATGTTCATAACATATGAAAATATGTTATGAAATATGTTTTAAAATAATCATTTTATTTTTGAAATGATTTGAACATTTTCACGCTAGTCTATAATTTGTAGATCAACAATAAGCTTACATTCTAGTTCACCTGACAGGAACATATGAATACAGTCTATTTCAACAGGTTAAACCTTACTTATCTAAAGAATGACAACTATAATAACTTCTGACCGTGAACGCCTGCTGTTTGACCTGTTAACCACTGGTCAAATAC